ATGGGCCCCCGCCGGCGCCCGGCCGCCCCTGCCCCCGGTGCCCGAGCTGTGTCGAGTCAAGGCCTCCAAGGCCCTGAAGAAAAAAATCCGCAGGTGCCAGCCGGGTGCCCTGAAGGTCATGACCCTGGTGTGAGCCCCAGGGAGCGGCCAGAGCCCCCAAGGCCTGGCAAAGTGACCGAGTTCCGGGAGAAGGCATCCTGAGGAGCCAGGGCTGAGGGCCCGTGACAGGCACAAAGGGGCCCTCCCAGGCCTGAGGACAAAGCCGGCGTGTCCACCAGTTTAACATGCAGACCTGGGTTCTGTGCTGTTGCGAGTCTGCTCTCTGAAGGCTCAGTTGCCAAAGTTGCCACCATCTCAGGAGAGGAGGCGAGGAGCATGTGCCCTGGCTGGGCCCGCGGGTGCCTGAGCCTCGGGGACATCCACGGAGAACCCCGAGATGCGGGGTCTTACAAGCCGCCCCGAAAACTTACAGATTCCCACCCGGCTCCCCGGTGTCTGTTGTCAGCGGGGTTGTCACCTCTGTATTGCTCCCGGTCCCTGCAAAGCCTTCCTCGGGGCTCAGTGGCCAGACTGGGTGCGGAAAACAGGCTGGACCGTGAGTCCCACATTAACCTCACGTGACGAAGCATGCAGATGGCTCCGCTGCCGTCACAGGTCACAGGGACACGTCTCCTTTCCGTTACTCTCGCGCCTCCTGTCTCCCTGCTGGGCGCGTAGTAGGTGCTCAGCAGACCCCCTACCCCCATCCTTTGGGCGCTCTTACCCGAGGGGGGAAAACGCAGCTCCCGGGAGCACAGCCCAGACTCTGGTCCCAAGACACTTGAGCAGAGCATAAAGTGTTTTGAAAGATAACTTTTGTGGGTGTTTATTGGTCAAGGAAAATGTCTCCACTTTCCCAGAGGGAAGGTGGGTTTCCAGGGAGGCTGCCTGCTGAGCAGCTTTTCCCGGATGTTCTGAAGCTTGTCCTGGGGCCGGAGGCCCGGGAAAGAAGGGGAGTGAGTGTTACTCCTGGGCCCTCAGGGGGACTGGACCCCTCACTCCCGCCCCCCAGGAACTTCTGACGGAGGACTAAGGAAAACACCCAAAATACTAGATGCGTAGGCGTGTGCACGCTTGGAGGCATCAGCTAGGTATTCTCGTGAACAGCCAGTTCAGGAGTCGGCGTGAGGAGGTGAACATTTTAAGAGTCGGTAACGTTTAGCACTAAGACGTGACCTGCACAGGCTGAGGTTTCTGGGGGTGAAGACAGGGCGGGGCTGCTTCTGGGGAACCTCGAACCTGCAGCGGATTCAAAGGGCCCAGAGCCGACTGTGAGATTCAGGCGCCCACCCCCGAGTCTGTCTGGGTGGAAGCCCCTCGTGCTCAGGGAACCAGCTCAGGGGCAGAGGTGAGGGTCACCTGAGGTCCTTTAAACCTGCGTTGCCATTTAAGTAAAATTTAAACCCACCGTGATGGGGCTGTATTGTAAAGATATTACACAGGGTAGTTTATAAGAATGGTCTGATTCTCAACTGTGTGCATGAGAGCCATGACCTGGCTGTGCCAGGGCCACCGGGCAGTGAGGCTCCTGAGAGAGGATTCAGCCGGGTTCGGCCCGCACCTGGGTCCCGGGGCTCGCACAGCCCGCGTCCCTCAGCAGCCCTTCTAGAGAAACAGCCGGATGTCCCATTTACCGATGATCTAGTTGAGATTTCTGCTCTCACATTTATGGGTGATTTTTGCAACCAAGGGCCTTGGAAGTGCCAGGTCCCCTCCCCCCTTCATGAGCCACCCTGTCCCTGGGTCACAGGACAGAAAACCCAGGCTGTGTGTCGCTGGCCCAGATCCGTGGCGTCGGCGCCTAAGGGGATGCAGGGAGCCTGGGCCTCTGACTGTGTGTCCTCAGAAGCCAGGACCGGCTCCCTAATGATTCAGCCAGGTGGGAGCTCGGTCCAGCCAGGGATCCTGGGCCTGTCCATGCAGCTAACAAACCACATGCCAACCAACGGAGCAAACTAACCAAGTCAACCAACCGAGCAAACTAGCCAAACAAACTAACGCTATAAACTCCGCACACACCAACAAAATGCTCCGTAACCTCTAAGAACAGGAAGCGTCCTCAGCGCTGGGGCATCCAGATCGGTCACCAGCGCCCCCTCCTGCTCCTCCCCTCATTCTGTTTCCCCACCCAGGGGCCCAGACACACACTTCAACCGACCAGGGCCCCCGACCATTCCCCCTCGTGCGGTGGCTCTCCCGCAGGTGTCGCAGGCCTGGGGTAAATAAGTATAATCCTACACCCCCCATCCCATCTGCCTGGGGCCTGGGCCTCTGCTTGCCCAGTAATTAATTCATCAGAAGATGCTGCCGCCCTGGGGTCCGGTCTTGCTGGGCTAAGAGCAATTTCGTGGCCTCAGGCTGGGGTCCTCGCTGAGTTTGCTTCCACCTTTATAAAACCTCAGGCCTTGGCGTGAGGGGTAAAGTGACCAAGTTGAAAAATGGGCCCCAGTCTGTCTGCTCAGCAAGTCTGGTTCCTGTCCCCAAAGACCGTGGGGAGGGTGCAGCCAGGCTCAGACACCAAGGGGGGAAGAGAGGAGTGACCAGGACAGCCCAGGTGGCCACGGTCATGCCTTCCTCTTGGAGGAGGCCTCGGGCAGGGGAGGGGCGGGCCAGGGGCTGGGACCCAGGGCGGTGACGGGCCAGCCAGGCCTCCTGCAGGGGGAGGCATCAGCTCAGGTCTCTGGCCCCTTCTCCAGCGCCCCTGTCACCACCGGGGGCTGGTGTCCGTGGTGTGAGGGCGCCAGGGAAGATGCTCTTTGGGAAAATACTTTAAAATAGAGTTAAAATTCAGAACATCCGTGATGAGAGGCCAATTGGAGTCAGTCTGCAAATCAAGTGCTGAATTTCAAAGCAGAGAATTAAGTCCAGAGAAGAAAATTCAGGGAAGGTGGACTGTCCAGGGCAACCATAACCAACACAATAGCCTCAGGCTGCAGAGAACACGGAGCGTTTACCTGAGCGGGAGACGCAATCCGGGAGCCACAGGGTGAGGCGGCAGCCGGACTGTGGTTTCCACTTAGCTCCTCCCTGAAAACCAAGGATTCCGGCTCCGCCCTCGGGACCAGTTAGGTGGAAAGGACCAGAGCTGCTGTCAGTCACATCCTCTGTGTGACTGACGGACATGATGGCCTGGTCGCCATGGCGAGAGGGAAGCACAGTTCATAACATGACTCAAAGTTCAAAGTTCATAGCGGGGCTCGGATAAGGTGCGTGCGTTCCCGGGACACCAGCGACTCTCAGCAATTTTCATTCACAGCTGGATGTGCAGAAACCAGGATTAATCGCGACATCCCAAATTAAACCACTTATCTGCCTGCGCATTTTGTGTTTTTCGCGTATTTTTCCTCTGAGCGGACATGGTCCTGACGCTCAGAGTGAAGGGAACGGAGCAGGGAACTCGCCTGGGCAGAGGGAGCCTGTAACCCAAGGGCGCAGTAGGTGACGGGGGGCCTTCGAGAGCATTTGAGACACACGAGCTTTTCCCGGTTCCTAAACCTTGAGAAAAGAACAGCTTACGATTTGACTTTTTGGATCGTTAGACATCATTGTAACTTCCAGAATGATTGAAATACAAATATGTTAGAAAAAAAAATACAAGGGGGATTAATTAGTTCTTTCCAAGTCTCAAAGTCAAGCCAAGATAGAAATTAAACGTATGAGAATTTCTCATAAGAGAAAAAATTTTAATTATAATGTCAGGGAACATATTCAATGTATTTTAGCGAATCATATTGTATCATTTCAGAAAACAATGTTTATCTTCCTGAATGCTTGTGTCCCCCCAAATCCATATGCTGAGGCTCTACCCCCTGCGGCGTGACCCTGTCTGCAGGTGGGGACTCGGGAAGTGATCAGGTGAGGAGGGGTCTCGCGGGTGGGGCCCTGGACTGACTTCGACGAGCGTCATCTCGCTCAGAGGGAGTCTTGAGAGCAACAGTTCCTGGAACAGAATTTCACTCACCTTTTACTTACGTTTGTTTATTTGTTGTCCAATCTCTTTTTAATTTGCCTCAGTTCAAACTGTTCAAAACAGGAGTTTTAGGATCGGGAGTCAGATGGCGGAGTTTGTGAAACTGTTAGCGGGAGCTCACCCGCGCCCACCTCCGAGACCAGAGAAAATCAGGATAACGGGTGGAAAGTGCGAAGGGCCCAGCTTCCCTGCATTTATGCCGAAGACAAATCACACTGAGGCTGAGCAGCTCCCGTCCGCCCCCTCGTTGCCTGAGGAATATGAGATAATATCGGAAACCTGGTTAACGATTGTAATTTACATGTAATTTAGGGAAAAGCCCGGTTTCCCGGGGGATTCCTGGGGCCCGGTGTGGGAGGTTCGAGGCTGTCTGCCGAGAGGTACTGATTAACCCTGAGACTGACAGTGGGGCTGGCACGGCTGACGTGGGCATCTGTGTTAATAGCTAATATTTACTTTTTTTTACAAAGTGCTTCCGCAGAGATCGTCCTCTGACCCGGAGGACGGCCCTGTGAGGTGGATCAGAGGCACCTGGACCTGCGTGAGGGCTGAGCGCTAAAGGAGTCACGGCAAGTGCACAGGTGGGCTGTGGGGGAGGCCCCCTCCCTGCCAGTGCGCGGAATATCGGAAGGTAAGGTAAGGCCTTCCGACCTCAGGGCCAGCTGCCTCCTCCAAGGTCACCGCTCAGGGAGGAAACCTCTGCGAGGGTGTCGGCCCCCCCACTTCTGTGACCTCCAGGCAGTTCACTTCCTGTCCTGACTCAGTGACTCGGTGAGTGGATGGGCACCTCCCATGCCCACTGTCCGCCAGGAAAAAACTGAGCTGGAGCCGATCAGCCTGCTGAGTGGAGCCTGTGACCCGGTGAGGCCCCAACCAGGCCTCGTGCCAGCCTCGGCCCTCTCAACCCGGTCTGGTCCCATCACTCTTCTTAGGGCCATTCTAGGTTGTTAAAATAAAACCTGGTGGGCCCTGGCCGGTGTGGCTCAGTTGGTTGGGCGTCATCCTGGGCACCAAAAGGTGGCTGGTTCAATTCCCGGTCAGGGCACATGCCCGGGTTTCAGGTTCAATCCCCAGTAGGGGGCTTGCAGGAGGCAACCGCTAGATGTTTCTCTCTCATCAGCGATGTGTCTGTCTCTCTTCCTCTCCTTCCCTTGCTCTTTAAAAATCAATAAAAACTACTTTTCAAATAATGATAAAATAAAAATAAAAAATAAAACCTGGTGGGGTGGCCACAGGGGACAATATGTACCTTTAAACAAATGAATCCAAATGAGTATCTCCTCGCTCTGTTGGCTACTCTCTTTCCCTTATTCAAAAACATAGTTTAAACTTCAAAGTGTTTCAAACATAATGAAAAGTGAAAACGCATGCATCAGTCCGCCCTGTGCTCACCAGCTGGTCTCACAGGTCACCACGGGCTGTATTTCCTTCAGACCTTCCAGTTCTACCCAGCGAAGAGCAGGAAACAACCCCAGCAACAGCCCCATCCCCACCTCCTTCCCCCGTCCACCCTCCATCACCAGGTAGCAGTGGTCCTGAAGGCGAGACAGGTCTTCCCGTGTCTACACACAGAGGGGCCTGCAACACTCCAAAGCATCATTTTGAGTCTTTGCCTCGTATTAGTGACATCAGTTTTGCAGTTTGCGTCTTCACCAATGTGGCATGGAGACACGTGGCATGGGGGACATGTGGCATGGAGGCACGTGGCAGTGGCTGTGGGGAGCACTGCTGAGCAGGCCCTGGGGGAGGCTCCCCGTGTCTTCACCCTTCATTCTCTCATCGACACATGAGGAGCTCACTGCCCAGGCAGCCACTGGTTCATGTACAGTTACTGAGTTCATTT